AATGATCAAAATTTATGAGACTCTATTTTGCAACTGATTTAGCAACCGATTTTGAATAATCAAACAACGACTGATTTAGCGACCAAAATAAGTCGTTGCTAAAAAACGGTCGCTATTTTGGTCGCTGCTTGATTGTGTTTCATGAACACAAAGTTTGTGACAGAACCAACGACCAACTAGCTATTAAATTGTAAAAAACATTGCGACTGAATTAAATTCGATCGCTAAATAAGAAATTTTGAGTTTTTTTAGCGACATATTATATTTCGATAGCTACTAAATACAAAGCACACCTTTTGCGACGGAATTGAATTCAATCGTTAAATATTAGTTAAAATTAGCGACGGAATTCTATTCGATCGCTAAATAAAACTTAAAAAATATATAAATTGCTTAAAAGTGATAATAATATTGTTATTGAGTATCAATCCCATTTTCTTTTTTTGTAAGAGCAAGACATTAATTTATAATAAAAAAATATTTATATGCACTCTTACATAATTAATACCAATAGTTATTTATGTGAAAAAATATTTAGAGGTTTTTTTACGATTGAATTTTTAGGCATTTTTTTAATTATAGTATATGAATTTTTAAAAATTTCTTATTTATTTTGATCCATATTTATAATATATATTTCTAACTTATGATAACTTTATTTTTAAATAAATTTTTAGATATAAATTTGAATAAATATATATTAAATGAAAATTAGTAACTAATCAAAGAATAATTAACTTCTATATATAAAGTACAAATGTCTTTCTTGTGCAATAACGTTTTTAGAGACTTTTCTTTAACTAGAAGAATTTTATATATTTTTAATTTTTTAATCTAATTTAGTTTTTATTTATCTTTATTACTTATAAACTAATTTTATTATTTTTAACATAAATTATTAAAAAAAACAAATATCCACGAATTTATCCATCAGTAATTACCTACATATACATCCGTGGGTAATTATCTAATTTAATTTTTATTTATCATAATTATTTATAAATTAATTTTATAATTTTTAACATAAAGTACTAATAAAAAAAATAATTATTCGTCGGTCATTACCCACGAATACATCTGTCGTAATTCTGTGCGTAATTATCTAATTTAATTTTTATTTATCGTAATTACTTATAAATTAATTTTATTATTTTTAACATAAATTATTAATTAAAAAATAATTACCCATGTATTTATTCGTGGGTAATTACCCACGGATTTATCCGTCGATAGTTACCCACGGATAAATCCTTGGGTAATTACCCCCGGATACATCTGTGGGTAATTATCTAATTTAATTTTTATTTACCATAATTTCTTATAAATTAATTTTATTATTTTTAACATAAATTATTAATAAAAAGTAACTACCCACGGATATTCGTCGGTAATTATCCACAGATTTATCAGTCGATAATTACTCATAGATTTATCCGTTGGTAATTATCCACGAATTTATCCTTTGTGAGTATTGTTGATAATATTTTTAAAAAATCATTTTAAAATTGTATTAAATAATAATCTTGTTTTATTAAAAACAATATAGTTCAAAATTGGTAAAATTATTATAAATGTTAAGAAATTAGCTTTTAATTTTAGACTATCATGCATTAATATCATTTCACTAATTATATATTTCTTAATTTAAATAAAATTAACTATATAATATTAAAATATATTGATAGTAAATTATTATTTTATACTATTATTTAATTATAAATTATATATATATATAATAGTTGATATGATAAATTAATTAGTATGAGAAAATTAGTTAAGTATTTAAGAATTTAATTTGTTAATATTTTATCATTAAATTTTTTGAAGTTACCTACGATTTTTTTTTTATTTTCTACAAACAATGTTTTAAACAAATATCCTTGGGAAATATATAATTTTCCTACGAAAAAATTCGTGGGTAACATCCATCTAAAATTTCAGGCGGAAAAAATCAGTAAGTAATATCCGTCGGAACCATTTATGTTTCAGATGGACACATATCCGTCGAAAAAATCCATCAGTAAAGTCATTTTTCAGACGGATATTTATCCGTAAAAAAAAAATCTATCATTAATAATAAGTGTTTTTTTTGTAGTGTTATAAATATAACTCATCTTAAGTAATGGAAGAGATAAAAGGAAAAATTTATAAGAAAAGAAAGAGAAAAAAAAAGCAACAAGACGCGTCACAATTGTAACTTGTCAGTCATGCTCATGACTGATTCTATGTTTCGAAAAAGGGGTCGAGGTTAGAATGCATCACAATTATGATTCTCACTCACACGGGTTGAATTCTTAAAAAAAGTATAAAACTATTTTTTTAGATAGGCAATTTAGTCAAACACACAAAAAAATGTAAAATTTGATTATTTTATTAAAAAAATGTTTTATTTTTAAAACAAACCAGTCCTTAATAATGTCATTTGAGATCCACCGACTACTGTGATATCATGTCAACATTTGAAAACTCTTAAATGTTTTCTAGGTCTTTAAAACAAATGTCATTTATTAATCTCAAAATAAATGTTAAGAATCCAAAATAAATAAATTTAAATTTTGAAAAGATGAAAATTATAGAAACTTATTTTACCATATCTAAGCTTAAATTTCACTTGTTTTGTAGAAATAAAAACAATGATTTATAATTTTGAAAGATGAAAAATAATTTTTTTATATTGATCAAAATAAAAATTTGTTTATTTTATAAGGACTAAAAATACACAAGTAATAATTTAACTAAAGAAATAGTAAAAACAAACAATTGAGATGAGAATAGTTGAATATTTAAAATTCAATTTGTGAATAAATTAAAATAATAAAAGAAAAGATATACAAATTATGTGAAGATTACATTAACATTTCAATTATCCAATGATACAAATACGCTCGATTGTTTGAATAATTTAATTATTAAATTATTTTTTATTTTTGTGAGAATAAAAGAAGTAAATTGTGTATGAAAATTTTCTTTTATTTTTTGTTGTTGAATATTTTAGTATATAATTTTAATAGTCATGTTTGGTATAAAAAAATTTTATACTATCATTTAATCAAAACTCGTATCTGATATGATTTTTAAAATAATTATTATAAAAGTTATTAAAGTGAATGACAATATAAAACTGTTTTACATTGTTAATGAATATATTACCGTTAAGTTTTTAATATATTTAAAGTTTGATTGTAATGCACATAATAAAAATCATGTTTTTTTTAATAATTTTTAAAATATATTATAAAAATAATAAAATTAAATTTATGGAGAATTGATTGGATTTACACTTTTAATGCAGTACCATTAAACACATATTTATACTACTAATAAAATAGGTATCTATTTTTGGTGCACACCATTTTTTTTATATGATAATTTTGTCTTTACAATCAATTGTGAAACATCTCACACTTTTTAAAGTAATTGCCCATTATATTATTTTATTGATTAAATTATATTTTTGATCTTTTATTTTTTAAAATATTTATTTTGATTATTTACTTATTAAATTTAAATTGATTTGATCTTTTAGAAATAGTGATTATTTTTTATTTAAAGATATAATTTTGAATAACTTTTTTATTGATTTGATTTAAAACTTGAAACTTATCTCATTAAATTCATTTATATGAAAACTGTTGAATCTATATGAAATTTAAATAAAAAAGTGTAATAAATATAGTGAAAATCACATAAAGTTAAGTCCACAAAGTAATAAAAAATTCAAAAAAAATGCTTTCATATAATTTTTTAGTTGTTTATAGAATATATTTTTATACAAATTTAACTATGTTTATAACTATTTTAGATTTGAATATCAATTGAAATTTATAATTTTTATATTAATAAATCTGACATTACAACTTTCATGTATTTTTAGTAAAAAATTATTCAAAATTATGTTATAAAATTTAAAAAATATTATTATTTTAAAGGTCAAATCAATCTAAGTATAAAAGATAAAATATCAAAATAAATCTTTTAAAATATAAAAGATTAAAATAGATTTAAAATATAAAATAAAGGAAAAAATATAATTTACTTATAAAAATAGTTTATCTATTTTTTCTAATTTATACTTATTATAAAAGAGATATATTTTGGTAATCGTCTTTTTGGTCTCTACTTTAGTGAACTATTATACTCTTTGGATATAAAAAAAAATATTTTTATATATTTTCTGAATAACTATCCGCAATTTCTAATATTTGTTTATATAACTATTAGAGACACAAAATATTCTCTTTAGTCATTATAAAGATAAACAAATAATAATAAAAAATAAAAGAAAAAAGTAATTAACATTTTATTTTGCTAAATAATTGAAAATTTGACAAACATTTTACCATATTTTCAAAAAATAGTTATTAATTCAAATATCTATATCTATTATCTACTATTTATTATAAAGAGAATATATTTTGATAATTACTCTTTTGGTCTCCTTTTTTAAGCAGACCATTATATCTTTTGGATATAAAAAAAATCTTTTTATATTCTTTTTGAATAATTATTTATAATTTCTAATATTTGTCGATGTAGCTATTAAAGATATGAAATATTTCGATCCCTCAAATATATATAATGAATTTTTATTTAAAGAGAAATGCGTCTAAAATTTTGACCGAAAATTTTTCTGAATTAATTATGATTCACATTTATAATTTTTCTAATTCAAAAATAAAAACTTTTTAATTGGTCGAAGGATGATTCGGAATGAATTTTCGGAGGATATATCATTTTTCTTATTTAAAATATCTTACGATAAAATATAACCAAATTTGATATAACTTGTATCGCTTAGAACAACCAAATTATAATAAAATTAAAGCATATTTTATCATAATTATAATTCCGTGCTTGTGCTTGTTATGTTTGAAGTTTGAAGGTGAGTTAGGACCATGCCTACCATGGTGGTCCGAAATAGGTGGACCCCAGAATCCGCATGTTTATCCTTTTAATTAAAATTAAAATTAAAAAGAGAATTTGAACTAACCCAACGTTCAAACCAAAAACAGTATCAGTGTTGTTGTTAGCTCTTGCTTTTGAAAAAAAAAGCAGAACAGAGTGTGTCTGTCTCCATCTCTCTCTCTATGCACCTTGGAACCATCTCTTCTTTTTCACTCTCCACCCTTCCCTCACTTCAACTTTATTTGCCTCTGATCGCCAAAGGGTATGTTTTGTTTCCCTCAATTACTCTTATTCTTATCAAAGTTTTTGCCTTTGTCTTGTTCTGTTGTTTCAATTTTTTTATTTCTGATTGTCGAGGCTTGTGTATCAGAACCAGGCACTGGAAAAAGTGCTGCGTGTGAGTTGACAACAGGTTCTTTGGAAGAAATGGGTAGTACGAATTCGGGGTTGAATTTGCAAATTTTCATAGTGTCCGTGTTGATTTTCACTGCAACTTTCTGTGGTGGAGACACTGACCCACTTGATGGTACAGTATAGTTCAGGGTTCTCATTTTTCAGTTTTGATTTTTACTTAATTTTATAATTTTATCATGCGTAGTCTATTTGCATGTGTTATCTAAACGTTTTCTATTAATGTGTTTATGGTTCACACTTCACAGTTGCGGCGATTAATAGTTTGTATGTGGCTCTTGGCTCACCACCCCTTGAGGGTTGGAAAGCCGAAGGAGGAGATCCATGTTTGGAACAATGGCAAGGTGTGAGTTGTGTCTTCTCCAACATAACTGCCTTGTATGTCCCTCTCCACTTTCTTAAACTATTGTTGGTTTGGTTTTTTGGTCTTGTTTTGTGTTGCACTTTCTTAAAGTATGTTTTATTGGGTGTTTCTTGAGTTGTTTAATTGATGAAGGTGAATGTGATCACTTGGGATGTGGCTCTCTAAAATTTGTATTTGGGTTGACAGACAGCTGGGAGGCATGAATTTAAGTGGACAGCTGGGAAGTAATTTGGATTTCCCATCCATCATAGAAATGTAAGTGTGTTTTCTCAAGATAATGGTAAACATCATTAGCATGTCTTTTTCAAAATTTATGAATTCAGCATTATTATTTATTTTAAATATTTACAATGTAATTTAGAATTAGGTACTATGTAGTATTACATTTTTCCATTGGTAAACATTGAAATTCTGAACTTTTGTACACTGAGCTCCGATTTGTCCAAACTTCAAATTCACTAATGTCTAGAAGAGACAAATTTTGTTTTTGGTTATTAGGGAATTTTATAGCTCTTGTGACTAATAAAAGAAATAACTTTGTTCTGCATTGCATGTTGAAAGTGGTTGCATTTCTTGTATAAGATTCCTTGTTTTGGTTCCATAATTGTGCTATCATTTGCATGAAAACCTGAAGAAGCTTTCTGTTCCCCAATTGGCAGGGATCTTAGCAACAACCAGATTGGAGGGACCATTCCATCCACTTTGTCCCCTACATTGAGGAATTTGTATGTTTTCTGCATCAACACCAATTTTGTGACTTGTTTCATTGCACTGACTGTTGACTATATGTCTATATCATTTGTATCCATATCCATAAATACAAGTATCCTTTCTGTTTTTTTATAAATTTAGGTCTTTGTCAGCTAATCAGTTAAATGGAAGCATACCAGATGCCTTATCCTCACTAACTCAATTGTCAGACTTGTGAGTTTATAGCATTTCCTCTTTTCAAATTGAATTTGTTATATTTTTCCATCATCTGTTACTTCATTTTGAATGAGAATGTGCTTCCACCCTTAGGTCATTAAAAAATAACCATCTAGATGGACAAATCCCAGATGCGTTTCTACAGCTCACTGGTTTGATGAATATGTATAAAAATGTTGTTAAATCACATTGATATTTCAGTGTCTTTATTTTGTCCACTATGATATAAATCCTGTGCCTTGCTGCAGGGATCTGTCTGGCAACAACTTGAGTGGTCAGCTGCCTCCCTCAATGGAGAATTTGTCATCTCTTACCACATTGTGAGTAAAACTTTTAGCAAAAAGAGATTATATTTGCCTACTTGTTTCATGAACATGTCTTTAAAGTTTTATTTATTTTGCAGACACTTGCAGAACAACCAACTTTCTGGGATCCTTTTTGTTTTGCAGGATCTCCCTCTTCAGGATCTGTATATTTCTCAGAAACCACATTCCCTTTATAGACATAGAAATGAGTCATATGACTGTTGTCTGTAATACCTAGCAACAATTTATGCTTGGGATGTTTAAAATGTTTTGAAGTTAAACTCTGAATTTATAATGATGTAGGAACATAGAGAACAATATATTCTCTGGGCCAATTCCTCCAGAGTTGTTGAGTATACCTAATTTCAGGTGAGTCTGGCTTACACTTTGAGTTTGAGTATTTCTTTTTCTTCTCAAACAGTTTTTTTAGCCAATTTCCTTCTCTCTCAATATTGAAACCTTTTCTCAAGTATTATTATCATTTTGACGTTTGAGATGTTATATTGGAAAATTTTCTACTTAAGTTTTATTTCGTGATGAGAATTGGTGATAAAATGTAAGGCAATATGCTAGGATTATCCTTTTCCAGATGATCTAAGCATTTTATTTTTGGCTTAGTTTCTTAGATACGGGCTTAGGTTAAAAAAATCATTCATAGCCCCATTATCAGATCTCTCATACAAGGTAGTTATAGTAGCATTTACTTTGCAGAAAGGATGGGAATCCATTTAATACTACTATCATTCCATCACCGCCAGCTGCTTCCCCTGCACCTGTTGCTATGGCTCCTTCCCCAGAAAAATCACCTGGGAAAGCGGCAAATAATCCCCCTGCTACAAGAAAAGCACCAGCACCAATACCTGCAATTGCTGAGACGTCTTTCAAAACTAAGAAATTAGTTTGGATTGTTGGTTCAGGCTTTTTAATATTTGTTGCATTAGGAGTTTGTTTTCTAATGTTGTGTTATTTTAAGAGAAGACCAGGGAACAAGAGTTATAAGAAACACAACATGAATGCATATGAACGATCTTTAGAAAAACGTACATGCAGTGACTCCCCTTTTGATGCACCTAATGATGAGGAGAAAGGTAAATCCGATGATGAAGCTCCTGTTCTTTTTTAATTGTACCTGTTGCGATATAACTTCTTAAACTCTATTTGCAATTCAAAATCAAACTCTACATGGAATACCAAATAGAAGAACCAAATTGATTCCAAAGTCATAGGATGAACTAAAAGTCCACGTGAAGAGAATATATTCAAGTTCAGAATGTAATAACTTATATGAACTGAACAATACAGGATGGGGTTCCAAACTTCCACCCCTGCAGCCAGCACCACCACATCAACTTCCAATCATTCCTGGGGAGAATTTAATCATCAATCAAGCTATATCTACCAAATCATCTGAAAGACAAATTATAACAAATTCCATCAAAGTTTATTCTGTTGCATCACTTCAGCAGTACACAAATAGTTTTTCTCATGATAATTATATTGGGGAAGGCACACTTGGCCCTGTTTATAAGGCTGAACTACCTGATGGAAAGGTAATATTCTTCTAGTTTGATGTATTTGGGCATTCTTTTGTGTTCATTATTTTGCGAACTTGACCATGATTCCTATGGAGGGAAAGGGAAGGTAGGGTTAAATTTTCAATTTCAGTTTTAATTTTATTTAAGCATGTTTTAAAATCAAAGGAATAAAACCAGGTATTAGCTTGTAACCTTCCAATCATCTCTCATTCATTTTCATAAAAAATTTATAACTCAATTTAAAACTGAAAGATTAACCCTCCTTTCCACCAAACACATAAAGGTATTTATTGTTGGACAATTAATACTATGGCAATATGGATACTTATCCTCCACTTTTTTGTGCTGTTGGGGAAATCTAGAGATTTGGCAGAAGCTTGTTTAGGTTTGTTTATCTTCTATTGCTCCTAAATAATTTGAACAGAATTCATTTTCTTTACCACTCTTAATATATTAATAAAATTAGTTTGAACTTTGAAGTTCACACTGCTTTTCTTTCCCTTTCAATGTTGAAATAGGCAATTTAGGCATCTGCCTGGATATCCTTGGTAGTTGGTTAAATCTTCCCTTCTCTCAGATATACATTTCAGTTACGTACTTGACAGACATTGCTTTTTAGGAATCTACTACTTTGTGACTTTTGCAGATTTTTTCTATTGTGCTTGCTTGACATGAACTGTTTCTTATTATTCTCCTAGTTTCACTCGTTTAACTGGAGCATCATATGCTTATAATTTTCAAATAATCTTCTTTTGTAGTTTCTGGCAGTTAGGAAGCTGAATGCTACTGCTTGCATGGGACAAAACCATGAACAGTTTCTTCAATTAGCTTCCAGTATCTCCAAAATTCAACATGCTAATATTGTAAAGCTTATGGGCTACTGTGCTGAGTATAGCCAACGACTACTTGTATATGAGTATTGCAGTAGTGGGACCCTACATGACTCATTGCATACAGATGATAAATTTCAGATTAAACTTTCATGGGATAATCGCATTCAGGTGTCACTTGGAGCAGCAAGAGCTTTAGAGTAAGTTAAACAATTAGTCACAAAATCAATAAATCTTTCATATAACTAGAATAGATAAAATCAATATTGGTTAGTGAACTAAGCTTGTCTTGTTCTCAAGGTTGAAATTTATGTTAAGTATTAGTAATATCTTAGGTCTTGCAATTTAGACAATTATTGCAAGGTGGTTTTTAAGCATGTGATGTGAAATTGGATCTCCCTCCACATATAAAGTAGTTATGTTTTAGACTAGTAAGTAGTAACACTAGGTTAAGACATTGGGGATTTTCTTGACAACCTTTGATCAACTCCTTTTTTTCTCATTTATTAGGTATTTGCATGAGCACTGTCAGCCACCTATTGTGCACCGAAACTTTAGGTCTGCTAATATACTTCTCAATGACAAGTTGGAAGTGCGTGTCTCTGATTGTGGATTAGGTTCTTTACTATCTTCAGGCTCTGTTAGTCAGGTAACTCTTCAGCTTTAATTTCTTAACTCAATTTTCAACTGATATATAGTTCGGGGATTTGGTTATAAAATTAGGTAATACCTAGATGAAATTGAAATGGATGATTGGTCTATTTCACAAGCTTTAGGATGTATATATAATATAACTAAATGACTTAAATTTCAATTCTCCCATTACTCAATTTCTGAAAATTCACTCATGTGCATGTGCTCAGGGATGCGGTTTGTGGGGGTAGATGGGGTTGCTTGTGAGACAGTACAGAGTTAACTTTTCTTGATCTTTGTTGCATTTCTGGCTAACACCAGTGCATCTGTTTTCAGTTGTCAGGACGCCACCTCATAGCTAATGGTTACAGTGCCCCAGAATTCGAGTATGGAAGCTATATAATGCAAAGCGATGTCTTTAGTTTTGGAGTTGTAATGCTAGAACTCCTCACTGGACGAAAATCCTATGACAGGTTAGCAATCCCATTAGCGAGATTATATACTTGTGTGTTTAATAAAGTCATAATTAAAGTATTGGATTTGGCTAAGGCACCATTAATTATGTTTTGTCATAGCTCACGGCCTCTTGGAGAGCAATTTTTGGTGAGATGGGCAGTCCCTCAACTCCATGACATAGATGCATTATCAAGTATGGTTGATCCCTCCTTAAATGGAACATATCCTAAGAAATCATTGTCACGTTTTGCAGACATTATTTCTTCATGTATACAGGTAATTTTCTTCTTACTTTTATGCCAAATCCAACAACAGATCTTAGATTCATAAGTTATCTCATGGTTTCATTGCACAAATATAATCTTTAATGATCAAATATTGAGCCATGTTTTGTACTAAAAAAAAAAAAAAACAGATTTCACCATAAAGTTATTGAGGCGTGCTTTACATTTTAACCATAAAGATTACATTATAGTCTTCAAATTCTTATTTGTCTAGTTTAATTGGAAATGTGCAAGCTATAACATGAAGTGTCAATATACTAATATCTCTCAAGGAATATGGTCAAGAATTAGAACTATACCTTGATATTGTCATCACTTCATATGTTATAATACCAGTTGATGCAGTTTATGTACTCTCTCTATCGTGCTTGTAGTTACCATGAAGTCTTTTTTATTTGATTGATATATATGATATCACTTTCTTATTGCCTATAATATATTTATTTCCTTTTTTGAATTGTTTTTCTTCCAGCATGAACCTGAATTTCGACCAGCAATGTCAGAAATTGTTCAGGATCTCTTGCGAATGATGTAGAGGGTCGTGTAGCTATTAATGAGGTGATGAACTGCCTTAGCTAGTAAAAGAAGCTATGGTCACTAAATTTTATGAATGTTACATATTCATTCTTTAATTTATTTTTTCGGAGTGACATCAATCGTTTCGTTACGTGTGAATTATGCTTACTAATGTGATTTTATTGAATTTGTGCTGTATTATGCACACACAAACAAACACAACGCATCTGATTCACCGGAATTTGTGTGTGTCATCAAAATCAACTACAATCATACACACACACACACACACATATATATATATATATTCAATTTTCTTGATATGAAAATGCCTGATTTTACAACAAAAAAAAAATTATTGCACGAAGGAACACAAAAATATGTATCAGAGAATGTTTTCTCAAATCCTATATAGGGCACATTTTGGGGAGTGTTTATTTTTATTTTTATTTTTTAAAGAAATATTTATCAGAGAATGTTGTTTTTTTTCCATTAAATTCTATTTTTTTTCTTGTAATTTGTAAGACCATGTTTTGTTTGTTTACTCTGTATAATTTTGTTAGAAAAATGTTTTGTACGTCACGCTTTACACTCATATCTCTCGAAAGTAGCAGAATCAATTAATATCATCGGTAGGGCTAATATAATTTGATGGTGACTGTGGCTGATTAATCTATGTCTAGGCTTACGGTGAATTTTAAGATGAATTTTTAAACTAAATGAAATAATTTATTTAAGTTATTGAAATTTCATTTAAAGTTTATTTTTTAGACAATTTAATGTACAAAATTACTTACTGGTGATTATTATGATTAATTTTATTCAATATTATTTTCAGTTAATACTAAGGTCAATCTATCTAATTTTTGCTTTTTGTTAATTCACGCGTCACTAATTAGTTTTAAAAAATCACGAGACACAAAAATAGGCAATTTCTCTTCAAAAGATAAATCAAACGTCATTTAGAAGAATTTCGACTCTTGTGAATAATCTTTAACTTTTGTAAAATCAGAAAATTCAAATTGAGAAAAAGATGTATACTTATTTAGTACATGTTAAACTTTTAAAAGATTGTCAACGTGTTCAACAGAAAATATGATGGTTTAAATTTCTGGTTGATGAGGGAGCAATAGTTATGAAACTATACATAAAACGATGAATTACCAAAAAATTCAGAAGAAACTTTCATGCTTTAATAAAAAAAAATTCAGAAGAAACTTGCATGCTTTAATAAACATTTGAATACTAATTAAAATTATGAAAGTGTGTTTTGATCAGGTTACTTCGGTATTTTTGGCAGTGTGAGATATAAGATTAGGTTGCTTTGTATTACTATACTTCAAAAATTAAACATATATTTTCTCAAATTAATCATTACCAAATTTTGATTACTCTTTGTTGTCTAATTGGATTAGTTCATTTATTTTACCCAAAGTGGTGAGTAGGTTCATGAATCAATAGCCTATTCTGTATTGGACTTTTCGGCCCACTCTACCTAACGTACAACAAATAACTTTTTTATTTTATTTTTTATTTTACAATAATTAGAAAACTTTATATTAAGTTTAGAAGTCATGTAGACAATAATTTTTTAATTAGTAGATACGATAAATATTTTTACATTCACAATGAATAGAAATTAAACTCTTTCATAATATTTTTACTTTCTTTTCATATTATCTAAAGTAAAGAATTTTTTTTTATTTATTCAAACACTATATTTAGTTTATCATTGAGCATGTAAATCAATTCATGTTAAATAATTTTAGTTTAATAAAAAATATTGAGTTCAGCTGAATATTCAAACAAATTTTTTTTATCACTGATAATAGTTCTATTCAACTTGAATAGAAATATTTCAATTAATATATATATATATATATATATATATATATATAATTTTGTTTCCTTATATATTTACATAGTTTTTTTTTTTAATTTCTTCTTCTCCTTTTTTCTTCTATAATTACTCTTTGTAAAAGCAAACTATAAACAAAAGCACATGAATAAATTATCCTTGAAACCTTTAATTATTAATTAAAAAGTTATACAAATAACATGTATATATTATTATTATTATATGAAGGAGACATCTCTTTTAGCAACTATCTGAATTTATATTTTTACACAGACTTTTTTTTCCTCCTTATTAACAATGTTTCTCTTTTTCATCTCTTTCACTCTCAAAACCACCTTTTCCTACGTTAGTATTTGTTTTTATTTTGCATATCCATTTTTTTCATTTTACTGTAAAATTGTTTGTAGTTAACTACTCATAATATAATAGTTATTTTTTATATTAATTCAGACACAGAGTACCTTTTATTTTTCTTCTATTAGTTGTCGAGATGGTGGATTGTGTTACCAACTCGTCAAAGGACAGGTAAGCTGGGCCATTTTAAAAATTAAAATGGCATACGTATGGGACCATTAAAGAAGAAGAATAAAACCTTGCCACCTATGTATCTATGCGGCATCCATGTCGTCCATATTTAACACCATTTTTAAAATTTAGATGAAAGTCCCACATTAATGTGTTTTTAAATTATTGAGGATTAAATTGAAACAAAAAAATAAAGTAGGACTAAATTAAATTTTTTAATTATTATGAAAGACCAAATTAAACATTTAGCCTAAAAAAAATTCAAAGGAAGATCGGACACATGACTCTTTTCTCTCACATTCATCACACTCACAATTAAGTAACACAGGCACACCAAATTTGTGGAGGCTTAATCTTTCTTTCCTTTCCTATATTCTCTCCACCCCACAAGTCACAAATCATGCATATGCTATGAAGTTTCCAACTTCCCTAAAGCCTTGGTAATGTACCAACAACATAGAACTAGCCATTGCACATCCACTGATTCCTCAAGCTAAATGAAAACCTGGTACTTCTGCCCTCACAAACTCGACTTGCATAAATCATGTAAGCACATCTAGGGGTGTGCAAAAAATCCAAATTGATCCGAACCGATCCATAACCGATCCGATCCATATTGAAAAATCCGATCCATTTTGAAAAAAAATCCGAACCGAACCACTTTATAAAACCGGTTCAGTTATCCGATCCATTTTTACAAAGTGGTTCGGTTCGGTTTGGTTTTTTAAAAAAACCGATCCATATATGAGTAAAAAGTGGATAACTGCACCGCACCGAACCGATCCAATTTAAAAAAAACCGATCCATATTTTAAGAAAACCAAACTGATCCACTTTATAAAAAATGGATCGGTTAACCGATCCACTTTTATAAAACGGTTCGGTTCGGTTTAGATCGGTTTTTTGAAAAAACCAATCCATGAACACCCCTAAGCACATCCCTACACCAAAGTCTAGAATGTGCTTCACATAGTATGGCATAACCTTCCAACCAGTTGTATACTGAGCCATACAACAAAAAACACCAACACTAAATACATGACATTGAACCAAGGTGTTGCGCGTGTGCATGCTATGGTGACTAGGTCACAACACGAGGTCTTTTTTTTTTTCTTCTTTTTTTCCTTTTTCACTTCTAAATATTAATTTATTGTGCTCATTTGCTTTATTGTGAATTTTTTACTATTATGGAATTTTTTAAAAAAATACAAAAATAAAATCCCTCCAATTTAATTACAGAACTAAACCCATTCACTGTGCATAGTCAAAATTCGGTTCTTGGAGAGCCGAATTCTGACCAGCATAGTGCACCTCCCCCACCCAATTCTCTCTATCAAAATTCAGTCTCTCGGAATCTGAATTTCGTGTACATTTTTAGTTTTTTTGTTCATTTTTTTTATTTTATATATATAAATATAAATATTTTAATTAAATAATTGTTAGTACCGAAAAATGAATTCGGAGGCACTCAAAATACAGAGGTGCTTTAAATCCTAGGTGATCGGAAAATGGCAAAGAAGTTTCTGAGGAAGGACACGAAGACACTTTTCGTGAAACTCTCGAAATCATTGTACCAGGAAGGACACGAAGACACTTTTCGAGAAACGCTCGAAATTATTGAACTAGGAAGGACGCTGCTCAAGAGAAAGGCTCACAGCCTCGCAACCTCTCAAAGTACAAGAAAAATCAGGAAACACTCGAGTAGTATATTTTTCGTTGGTTACTCGAAATCCCAAGAATCCGGACATACACGAACACACTTCGCAACCTCTCGGAATGAAGAACTTAAAGGAGACACGATTTAAGAGCGGTTGAAGTAAATCATGGGATAAGTGTCAAAGGCTGCAGAACGGTTTGGGGAAGTTAATGAGCAGTTCCAAGAGTTATCCAAAGACGTGCCCGGGAATAAGCCACGAGGTCGAGGTGGAAGTTTAGAACGGTTATGCACTTCCGGGGCACGTCAGAAACAGTTACCTTTCCCAAATCTTTGTCTATAAATTAAACGAGCCATGCTCGTAGCAGGAGGTCGAAAATCTAATTCCCACAATACCTCACATGCACTCCGCAGCCTGTGCATAAGGCATACTGTGCGTACGAGACAACTTTGGGTACGATTTCTCGACCACCTTTCTTTTTCCTTTTTTAGGAGTAGCATAGCATAGCGTAGCATAGCATAATCTAGTCTAGTGTAGTGTAGTCATTCTAAACACGTTTCGTTATCCTTACGAATTGTAATTCTGTTACCATTTAATGAAAACTCTATTTCTTACTTGTACGATTTTATTTTTTCACTGAAAGTCTTCAATTCTGTCATGTCACGAACACACATAAATTGAAACGTGAAATCGTGCTAGTTCGAATAAAAAGGATCCATAAAACGAAATCCACCGTAAACAAATTGGCACGCCCGGTGGGACTCGTTTGGTGAACTTCATTGAACTAATTGAACTAGTTTTGTGTGTGCTTCTATTTTTATGAGACTTAGAAGTGGGACAACTATGTCTCCATCCAGCAGAAGAGATGCGCTTAATGAAGAACAGGGTAATGGAGAAAATCGGAATGCAAATCAAGAAAATGTGCCAAATGAAGCCAGGGGGCAATGTCTCCACCTCCTGTAAATATTCCGAACTCCACGGGATTTCTGAATGCGTCACAAGAAATGGTTAATCATTCCTCCCTTTTTCATCATATCCTTAGTCTATATATTTAATTGCTACCCCCAATTCCTTCAAACGTGAGTTTTTTATTCATGCCCTCATACTTTTCTTGCTTCCCGCATCATTTGAATCTCTTGCCACGTGTACATACCCACTAACTGTAGCCTCCTCAGTATATTTAGGTTCCTTAATTGCTACTGCAGCATCTTTACATATTACAGAGGGATGAATTAGAGGAAATTTTAGAAAATTAGTTGAGTTTTGAGAAGGTGATTTAAGGTGAATTCTGAAAAATATATGGTGGATCCCATGATTGCAGTAATACCTTTTCACATTAGAAGATTATAGTGAAATTGGAGAATGGGTACCTACAATTACAAATATAACTATTCTTTCTTTTGTTATGTAACATATTGGATTATGTTACAGGTTTACCAGCTATTATAGGTTATCAAATCTATTTATATATGGTTATGAATTATTTGTTATAAATAGACTCCTTGTATTGTACTGGTTAGACAATAATTCAGATCAATTCATTTTGCTTCCCTTCACTGTGGCTGATCCTATTACATCTTTCATTTTCTTTGTTCACAAGAAGTTCATACTTCTAATATGGTATCAGAAGAAATCAACTCAAACATGACAACACAAACGAAAGATCCTACCCAAGATCCAAGCAACCCCCTCTTCCTACATCATTCAGATGGACCCGGGCTTGTTCTCACCTCTCATCCTCTTGATCACAAGAACTATACCACATGGAGTCGTGCGATGCATGTGGCTCTCTCCGTGAAGAACAAGCTTGCCTTCATAGACGGAACCCTCCCGAAACCCGCTGCCACAGATTCTACCTTCGCTGCTTGGAACCGTGGAAATAATGTGGTTATATCTTGGCTCTATAACTCTGTCTCAAAGGATATAATCACGAGTATTCTCTTTGCAACCACTGCAAAAGAGATTTGGGATGACTTGAAAACAAGATTTTCAAGAAAGAATGGACCTCGGATATTTCAACTCAGGCGCCAATTGATGTCTCTACAACAGGGATCAAATGATGTCAGCACATACTACACCAAATTGAAATCAATATGGGAGGAATTAGCTGGTTACAAACCAAATTTTCAGTGCACCTGTGGAGGACTTCAATCCCTTCAAGAACAGTATTGGATTATGTTACAGGTTTACCGGCTATTATAGGTTATCACATCTATTTATATATGGTTATAAATTATTTATATAGAGACCCCTGGTATTGTACTGTTTTGACAGAGAAATTGAGATCAATTCATTTTTCGTTTTCCTTCACTGTGGCTGACTCTATTGCATTTTTCATTTTCTTTGTTCACAAGTTTATACTTCTAATATGGTATCAGAAGAAATCAACTCAGACATGACAACACAAACGAAAGATCCTACTCAAGATCCAAGCAACCCCCTCTTCCTACATCATTCGGATGGACCCGGGCTTGTTCTCACCTCTCAGCCTCTTGATCACAAGAACTATACCACATGGAGTCGTGCGATGCATGTGGCTCTCTCCGTGAAGAACAAGCTTGCCTTCATAGACGAAACTCTCCCGAAACCCGCTGCCACAGATTCTACCTTCGTTGCTTGGAACCGTGGAAATAATGTGGTTATATCCTGGCTCTATAACTCTGTCTCAAAGGATATAATCACGAGTATTCTCTTTGCAACCATTGCCAAAGAGATTTGGGATGACTTGAAAACAAGATTTTCAAGAAAGAATGGACCTCGGATATTTCAACTCAGGCGCCAATTGATGTCTCCGCAACAGGGATCAAATGACGTCAGTACATACTACACCAAATTGAAATCAATATGGGAGGAATTAGCTGGTTACAAACCGAATTTTCAGTGCACCTGTGGAGGACTTCAATCCCTTCAAGAACACACACAATCTGAATATGTCATGTCCTTCCTGATGGGTCTCAACGATTCTTTTTCACAAATCCGTGGTCAGATCTTACTCTCTGATCCTCTTCCTTCAATTGGTAACGTTTTTTCCCTAATTCTTCAAGAAGAAGCTCAGAAAGAAATTGCAATTACACACAGTTCTAATGATTCTGAACACATGGCTTTTATTGTGAACCAACCGAAGACACTTTTCGAGAAACGCTCGAAATTATTGAACTAGAAAGGATGCTGCTCAAGAGAAAGGCTCACAGCCTCGCAACCTCTCAAAGTACAAGAAAAATCAGGAAACACTCGAGTATATTTCTCGTTTGTTACTCGAAATCCCAAGAATCCGGACATACACGAACACACTTCGCAACCTCTCGGAATGAAGAGCTTAAAGGAGACACGATTTAAGAGCGGTTGAAGTAAATCATGGGATAAGTGTCAAAGGCTGCAGAACGGTTTGGGGAAGTTAATGAGCAGTTCCAAGAGTTATCCAAAGACGTGCCCGGGAATAAGCCACGACGTGGAAGTTTAGAACGGTTACGCGCTTCCGGGGCACGTCAGAAACAGTTACCTTTCCCAGATTTTTGTCTATAAATTAAACGAGCCATGCTCGTAGCACAGGTCGAAAATCTAATTTCCACAATACCTCACATGCACTCCGCAGCCTGTGCATAAGGCATACTGTGTGTACGAGACAGCTTTGGGTACGATTTCTCGACCACCTTTCTTTTTCCTTTTTTAGGAGTAGCATAGCATAATCTAGTCTAGTGTAGTGTAGTCATTCTAAACACGTTTCGTTATCCTTACGAATTATAATTCTATTACCATTTAATGAAAACTCTATTTCTTACTTGTACGATTTTATTTTTTCACTGAAAGTCTTCAATTCTGTCATGTCACGAACACACATAAATTGAAACGTGAAATCGTGCTAGTTCGAATAAAAAGGATCCATAAAACGAAATCCACCGTAAACAATAATATAAATAGTTTAACTTAAATAAAAAATAATTATGTATTTTCTTTATATTATTTGTATAAGTTAAATAGTATAAGATAAAAATTAATATTTTAATAATAAATATAAATGAAAAACAAAATCAAAAAATGCAGAAAAAAAAATAAACACCCCCTGCACGAAATTCAGATCTTGAGGAATCGAATTCCGATAGGGAGATTTTGGTGGGGGAGGGGCACTGTGCTGGTCAGAATTTGACTCCCCGAAGATCAAATTCTGACTATGCAGAGTAAATGGGTTCAATTCTGTAATTAAATTGGGGAGGTTTTATTTTTGTAATTTTTTTAAAAATTACATAATGGTAAAAAATTCTCTTCCTTTTCTTTTAAAACTCTGTGCATCCCTTCCTATAGAGTTTGAAATTGAGAGTATTTTTTTTTTGTTTTGAATGTCAAATCAATCATGATGAAGGGACTACATTCCATTTTTTTTTTTTTGTTGAAACATCTATGACCTAAAGATTTATGCATGCATGTTAGAAGATATTGGCAGCACAAATTTCGGAAAAAAATCTACCCACTCACATCTTTTCTTCTAATTTTAAATTTTAAATTTTGTACATATTTTTTTTCTTCATTTTTTGACATTTTATTTTACATATTTTTTACTTAATTTTTCACATATTTTCGAATGAAATTGGATTATTATACAACCAATAACTCTAATATTATTGTTGGGTTTATTTTATGATATTTGTCTGAGATGATATTTATATCAAGAGGGTGATTATAACTTTGTTATTTTTATAAGATTATTTCACACACAACTCTACAATGATAAGATATTGTCCGCTTTGAGCCTAAGTTTTTACGGTTTTACTTTTGATTATCATCCAAAAAGTCTCTCAATCATTGAAGTATGAGTATACTTTATAAATTACTATTTCTTTTCTTATTTTTATCAATGTGGAACCTTGTTTCCCAACAATCCTCTTCTAAAACAAGAAACCTAACATTTCATGCAGCGGAATCTGTCTTTGTATATTACATAATCACTTATCACTTTATAAGGGTTATAACTTATTGGTTGTCACTAAATCCAACCTACGACTTTGATACCATTGTTGAGATTATTTTATGGTATTTAACTAATGTTGACAATTTGACATTTGCTCACTAAAAATATTATACCTTGAGTTCTAAAGCTCTCTTTTAGGTAATTATAAAGCTATTGGAAAGTTAATACCTAGGGCTATAACTTTTATGAAGACATCAAAGTCTAATTTAAAAAACACTAATCCGCTTAATCGTTTCCAAACTACTCAATGAATTCTTTCCACAAACGCCCTTATTTTCATCTCCAACTTAACTTAGCAATTTCAAAAACGCTCAATGGATTTCTTCTAGAGACACCTCTGATACTTATCTCTAATTTTGCTTAGTCATTTCAAAACTTCTTAGTGGGTTTATGACAAAGACGGTCTTTATTTCTCATGATTTTCGGGTTTTCAAGTCTCTTTAATCCATCCTAAACTCACCTACAAACTCTAAACTTAAATTTAAACCAACAACATTCATATGGACATCATCAATCCTTCATTTCCAACAACTAAACAAATTACAACCAAGATTTGGGTAAAAAATCAACAAATTCAAAAATTTTCCCCAAAATCCTAAAAAATCTCTAAGAAACTAAGAACACCAAGTATCTTCTTACAAACCAATATAGTATTTAAACAAGTATGCACCAAATGAGCATTCATACCACACATGTAATAGGAAAGTCCACACAATCATCCACCAAGATCAAGTCCTAGCTCCCATTACCTCAATTCCGAGCAACCTGAATGCAAAGAAGTGAAAGGAGGAAAGTGCTTCAAGATTCTGTCAAAAAAGGAGAGGAAGAACAAGGGAATGAGCCTAAAGAGCTCCACACCATCTTGATTAATTGAGCTCCAACCATTTTCAAGAACCACTAGCCTTCTGCACTTTAAGTTGCTCTCAGCAAAAAAATCATACTCTAATATCCTTAGGATCCTAAAAGAAGAATAATGTTTATCAATTAAAGTTTGTCTACCCAACAACAAAGCTAAAAATACACTACTAAAAGCCTAGTGTTACATTTTTCCTCACCTCATTTTCAACTAACCGACCTGTTAAAGAAAAGCAAGACCTTTAAAAGTTAAAATTAATTAGTAAATATATTATTTGGCTGATTTTTTTTTAATCCCAAAATATTAATGATTAAAATTCTTTGGTATGAATATTTGATAGGTTGTTCAAATTTAGGCCTAGTCAATAAAAAAAGCAAATGAGTCCTACAAATTATATAATCTGTCTCAAATTTATTTGCTTAAATATATATTTTTAATCTATTAAATTTAGAGTGAATACATTTTTTATCTTTAAAATTTAAATTTATTTTTCTATCCTTGTAATTTAAAAAAAAAACTTATTTTAACCTCTTAAAAAATATCATTAACAAAAATGAATAGAGTCAATTGTTAAGCATCTTTTGAGTACAATATAATATTTTTATTAATAAAGATACTAGTAAGTATATTACAAATTCAATTACAAGTGAGTTTTTTTTCATAAATTTATAAAACAACATTTGCACAGAGGAATTGGATTTTTTCCCTTCAAATTACAAGGATTAAAAATGAAATTTAAATTCGTGGGAGCAAAATAAAAATTATTTCATATTTAAAAAATTAAAAACATATTTTTTATTATAATTTTTTTTGTTAGGGATAGTTACTTCATTTTATACATAATCATTTCTATTCTTTTATTTTTTTTTACAATCAAACAAGAGAAACTAATTTTTTTATATCTCTTTTCTATCATTTTATTTCATACAAAACAACCTAAAAATCATCTCACTTTTCATTGTTTTCCTTCTCCTTTCCTTTTCACTTTCATTCCTAAACCAAACAAATCTTTAGTCTCCAAATTTGAAAATTAATTATTTTTGTTCCTACCTTGAAAACAATTTGCTTTTTATCCTTGTTATAGCTAGGAAGACTAAAATAATGATAAAAATAACTTAAAAGATTAAAATTGGGCTATTTTTAAATTAAGAGACAAAAAGAATCCTATTCAAAAATAAATTAAAATAATTATCTTGAATAAGGTGTTTTTAACAACCATTCTTCGTAGAAGTATTTTTAATTATTTTTCTTTAAAGAGAGTATATTTGTAATTTTTTTAACCTCTTGACTCTTTCTATTTATCATTTTTTATTCCTAAATTAAATGTTAATATTTTTTTAAAAAAATACTAATAGTTAAAAATAATATTGTATCATAATATAACTTATTTATTATAAATCTAAAATATAATTTATATGATAAAAATATTTATTTGTTGTAAAATTTAATTACAGCATAATTTATCTTTTAAAAAATATTCATTAATTATAAATTTTAGTTATATAAAATAAAATTTTATTTTATGCATTATGCATATTAAAAATGCTAGTTGCTTTTACATTTTGGGACTAAAAGTAAACTAAGCCAATTAAATTTAAAGAATTAAAAAGAAATATATTTTAAGTCAAATTCTTTTATCTACGTAATTCGTTTGTCACAGTACAATCATTTATGTAAACTTACCTTTTTTTTAAATAGTTATTGTTTTATAACACCTTCACCAACAAATGAACATTTCTTACCGGATTAATTACTTGACAGATGCATAGAAGTACCTTGAACTCAGTATATTCGAGCACTTGGGGATGATGATATGTAAGCTAGGATATGTTGGTTGATGCAAATGAAAAATTTCACTTTCCAATACATAAAAATATGAAGCAAATTGTTGTTGCTTTGAGTTGAAAGCCGTTTAATTTGAAAGGGTTTGAACGCTTCTCCAAATACTAACTTAATAATTGAAAAGTATTAAGAGGCTGGTTGCTCGTTAAAAATTGTATCCACGTTAAGCCATTAATGGAGACAAATATGCATGTTGATGAGATGGAGAAGAACACAAATCCATGAATGATGTTGAGGACTTGACGACCCACAACTACTTTAATTGGTCCTTTATTTGCATTGCAGCTAAATATTGCCTTCATTGCTTGTTTCCATATGCATTAACCATTTGCACATGCTATGTCGTAAAACACTAAACAGTTTTGTCACTTTCCAACTACGAATTGCTTTATCTTCCCTGTTTAAAAGGTTAAAGGAGATTGAAGAAGACGTTGAAAATGACCACAAAAATATTATCAACGAAACAAATCTTGTTCTAGTGTCACATTACATGGTTAAT